ATGCAGCGAGGCCAGTGCTGGGAAGAGAACAGAGGTCTCTATCCATTAGGTAACACTCTCTCCGTGAGGATGCTGCTCTCATAGTTGGTGGGGGGGTTGGGCGGAGCAGGGAGCAGTGCTGGGTGGGCTGTGGCTGCTGGGAGTGGCAGGCCCTGCCTCACCATATGACTGGGAAAAGCGTCTGGAAAAAACTCCCCTCCCCGCCCCTGAAAAGAGGAATGTGCTTGGACGGAGGAGGCAGACCAGGCTCAGGCAGGGTGAGAGGAGGCCGTGGGAAACACGAGGGGGGCACCCATGATCATGGGACTAGGACGACCCCGCAGTGACGTGTCGGTGACCGGGCCCTTCACTCACCTGCCAGGGCAATTATGGTGATGCTCAAAATTATGATGACAATGCTAACGAGAATGAGGATCCACTTCTTTTTAAGGTGCTCCAGGATGACACCTTGCAAAATAAAATACAGCCATGAAAGGCGAGCAGCAAGTGGTTCAACAGCAAATGCGTCTGGCGCATGAAGGTTGCCATGGTTTGCTAAGTTCTTCCTGTCACAGCAGATAAATCTAGCTCTTTGATGATGAAAGGCCTGGAACAGCAGTTAGAGGAGAAGAGACTAAAAAGACGAGGGCTGTTCCACTTAGAAAAGTAATAACTAAGGGGGAGGGGGAAAACAGAGGACTACAAAGTCATGTGGGGTGTGGAACAGGTGAATAGAAAAGTGTTACTCGCCCATCTCACACAACAAAACCCCGGGGTCACCTGATAAAATGAATAGGCAGAAGATTTCAAGAAAACAAAAGGAAGTATTTCTTCATGCAGCGTACAGTCAATCTGTGGAACTCCTTGCCACAGGATGTTGTGAAATCCAAGCGTAGAACAGGGTTTGAAATGAGCTAGATAAATCCATAGAGGTTAGGTCCATTGATGGCTATTAGGATGGACAGGGATGGTGTCCCTAGCCTGTTTACAAGAAGCTGGGAATGGATGACAGAGGATGGATCAATTGATGATTCCCTGTTTTGTTCACTCTCTCTGGGACACAGGGGGTCTGACACAATTGCTAAGCCTCTGGAGGGGGGCACAGGGTCTGTCTCTCGCTGTGTCTGTGCAGCGCCCGGCCCAACGGGGCCCTGATCTCAGCTGGGGCAGGGACTGTCTCTTGCTGTGTCTGTGCAGCGCCCGGCACAACGGGGCCCTGATCTCAGCTGGGGCAGGGACTGTCTCTTGCTGTGTCTGTGCAGCGCCCGGCACAACGGGGCCCTGATCTCAGCTGGGGCAGGGACTGTCTCTTGCTGTGTCTGTGCAGCGCCCGGCACAACGGGGCCCTGATCTCAGCTGGGGCAGGGACTGTCTCTTGCTGTGTCTGTGCAGCGCCCGGCACAACGGGGCCCTGATCTCAGCTGGGGCAGGGACTGTCTCTTGCTGTGTCTGTGCAGCGCCCGGCACAACGGGGCCCTGATCTCAGCTGGGGCAGGGACTGTCTCTTGCTGTGTCTGTGCAGCGCCCGGCACAACGGGGCCCTGATCTCAGCTGGGGCAGGGACTGTCTCTTGCTGTGTCTGTGCAGCGCCCGGCACAACGGGGCCCTGATCTCAGCTGGGGCAGGGACTGTCTCTTGCTGTGTCTGTGCAGCGCCCGGCACAACGGGGCCCTGATCTCAGCTGGGGCAGGGACTGTCTCTTGCTGTGTCTGTGCAGCGCCCGGCACAACGGGGCCCTGATCTCAGCTGGGGCAGGGACTGTCTCTTGCTGTGTCTGTGCAGCGCCCGGCACAACGGGGCCCTGATCTCAGCTGGGGCAGGGCCTGTCTCTTGCTGTGTCTGTGCAGCACACAATTGGGATCAGCTTCTGTCTCTAGGGGCTACCATATTAAACAATTATTTACCTACATCTCTTCTCTCTTCTCTCTGATCACGCAGCATTGACTCCCCCGCCTCTCCTCCTGCCAGAAAATCATAGACACACATTCATGGTCAGGCCGTATGATCAAGCATCTCCCCTTCCCTCTGCCAATTACATGCAGGCTCTTGTTTCCTTAAGATTAAAGTTATTATTATTTATTGCTCTCACTTGCTGCTTCAGCATCCTGTTGGGCCATCGGTTGAACACACTGCACCCAGACGGCTGTGTCTCCACCTACCAGGAAGAAAGAGAACGTCACTCGAGCCGGGTGATTTTAATCATGCGCTTCTCCATCAGAGCATATCGTGTCCGGTGCAATGGACAAAGCCCGGTCCAATCCCTCCTTGGCTGTGTCTACACTGGCATGATTTTCCGAACATGCTTTTAATGGAAAAGTTTTCCGTGAAAAGCATTTTCAGAAAAGCACGTCTAGATTGGCAGGATGCTTTTCCGCAAAAGCACTTTTTACAGAAAAGCATCCATGGCCAATCTCGACGCGGTTTTCCGCAAAAAATCCCCGATCGCCATTTTCGCGATCGGGGCTTTTTTGTGGAAAACAGCACTGTGCTGTCTACACTGGCCCTCTTGCGTAAATGATTTGCGCAAGAGGGCTTTTGCCTGAACGGAAGCAGCACTGTATTTCCGCAAGAACACTGACGATCTTACATGAGATCGTCAGTGTTCTTGTGGAAATTCAAGTGGCCAGTGTAGACAGCTGGTTTTCCGCAAAAGCAGATGATTTTGCGGAAAAACTTGCCAGTCTAGACACAGCCCTTGTGTCCATCTGGAGATTTTCTGGGCATTTGTCACGGTGAGAGACAGACGGTGGTGGCTTCTCTTGGCTTTAATAACCTCAAATACTCCAGTTTTGGCCTCACCGATGCCGTATACAGAGGTTAAATCACCCGCCTTCTGTTCATGGCTCCCAACGATGATGCATTCATGTTTCCCGTTTGTCGTTTTCCCCATGGCATCACTCTGGGAGCTCGTGTTGTGCACCCTGTGCTCCCAGGCTGAGATAATAACCTGTCTTTTCCCCTAGCAGTGAGGGGGGGTGTAAAGCATTGCAAAAGGAGAATCTTGTACCCCCTCGAGTGGCCTGTCATCTCAGCAGATAACAGTCTACTACTGCTGCCAGCTGAAGTTCTACATCACTGTGCAAAAGATTCCCCCCTTCAAACACTGCTCATTGCCCATTGAGAACATTAACAAACATGTCAGAGGGACTCAGGGAAATTTTCAGGGACGCTGAAAATCAGACTTCTGTCCAGTGTTCATTGTAAGGAGAGTGCTTGGGCGGCTGCCCAGGAGAGATTCAAACACCACCTAGCTGGTTCGCAGAATGCCCAGAGCCGGCCACATGTGTTTCTAATGGTGGTGCACACACCTTGGTGCACATAACAAAATTTATTCTGCACACAGCTGGACAAAAATTAGAGGGAATGCTGCTTCTGTCCCCAGTTTGAAGGCACAACTGAGTCCGTTGTCATGCAGTTGGCCCTCCTGTATAGCACAGACCACAGACCCTTCCCCACTCCCCCAGCATGCCCTGCATCTAGCACTATAACGGGTTTCACAGTTAGCATGTTTCAGAGAGATCACTTATCTCGGTTAGTGACTTTGCTAGAGACGTGGGAACCGCCTGACAGAGCTGTCCCCATGGTTGATTAGCTTCTTCAAATAGAAACCGTGTTTGCTGCTCGACTTTCTCCAGCCTCCGCTTTCTTCTCTTGGTTCAGCTTTTTGCTGCTCTTGAAAAAGGGACTTCCCTGGGGCCGCAAAGGGCGGGCGGTTCGGGGCAAGTGAACCCCAGGTGCTAGGCTCAGTGTCCCATAGGCCTTGCCGGAGAAAAGGCCTGTGGTCCCCAGAGCAGCTTTACCAAGGCGACAGCAGCTGCCAGGCTCCGTCAGGTGACAGGAGCAAGGAGAGCTGTCCCAGAACAGCTGAGCCCATGGGAGCTGCCCCGGTCCCTTTCCCCATTCAGACAAAGCCCTGCCGAAGGTGGTTGATTGTGAGTTAGACACCAGATTGAATGGGGAGCAGGTTCAAAACAAACACAAGGACGCTTTTCCTCACGCAGCACGCAGTCAACCTGTGGAACTCCTTGCCGGAGGACTTTAACAGGGTTCAAAAAAGAACTAGCTACATTCATGGAGGTTAGGTCCATCCATATTTATTAGCCAGGATGGCTAAAAATGGTGTACCTAGCCTCCATGTATCAGAGGCTGGGAATCATAGAATTACAGAATGGGAATAGGCAGCAGGGGAGGGATCACTTGATTCCCTGTTCAGTCCATTCCCTCTGGGGCACCTGGTATTGGCCACGGTTGGCAGACAGGACAGTGGGCTAGAGGGACCTTTGGTCTGGCCCAGTCTGGCTGCTCTTATGTTCAGAACGGGGAAGGCTAAACTTCCCTTGTGCGGAATAATTTTTCATGTGCACCAAAGCATGTGCCAATGTGCACCACCTGTAGAAACCCCATCCTTGCTGTGGACGCTCTGCTGATCAGCTGCACTGCTTGGTACCTCTCGACGTGCCCCAGTGCAGGCTGGGATAGCAGCCCTGGCTGTGCTCCCACCCCCCAACCCCTACAGTCCCTAGCCTAGAGACCTGTTGGGGCGCAGCTGGGGTCAGGCGCAAGCAAAGCGGCTGCAAATTAGGGTAGCCCTGGGGTGGCTCTCGCTTGCACTAGGATCCCCCAAACAGACCTGAATAAGGGGGGGGGGCAGCATTGCACCCCCGCTGCCTGGTGTGCAGCTCTCTGACACCAGTGCCCCCTTGGCCACTTCTGCAGTGTGTTTATCAGATTATTGGAGGGTGATGCCAAATGCCTTCAAAAAAACCCAGCTAGATCAAGTCTCCTGTTTCTCCATTAGGCCTGTAACCCGGTTAAGGAAGGAAAGTAGGTTCGTTTGGTCTGATTTTAATCCTGACTATTACTTATGACCTTGGGTTTCCATGATCTTTCTGACTATTATGTATGACCCTGTTCTAGAGGTTTGCAAATGGATTGCTCAATCGTCTGTTCCCGCATCTTCCCAGGGATCCAATTAGGCTGAGTGATCTATAATTCCCTGGACCCTCTTCTGTTCCCTTTTTCAAGGTAGCTGCTACCTTGACCTTTCTCCCTTCCTCTGCCATTTCCCATAAGTTCTTAAAATAACCACTAACGATTCCAAGATTGATTTTCTCTGCATCCTCCCTGCATGTTCCAGGCTGAGTTAACACTTTTCCATCCATGTGCAGACCCGATCCCCCCCATCCATGTGTGGAATACATTTTGTTGTGTGCACTGATTCAGAGGTGAATTCAAAAGAAACACAAATGGCACCAACACTAGCATTGTTTCGGCAGCAGGCTAAAGCCACCTTTTTTACCCATGCTTTTATTAATGTTTGAGTCTGTATGTGTGTGTTTCTCTTCTCTAGGGGTGTGTCTAGACTACAGGGTTTTGTCGACAAAAGTGGACTTTTGTCGACAAAACTTTACCCGCGTCCACACTACCGCTGAGTTCTGTCGACATAACGTCGACAGAACTCAGCAGTTTTGTCGACGCTGGTAAACCTCATTTTACGAGGCATAACGCCTTCTGTCGACAGAGTTTCTGTCGACAGAAGGTGTTATTGCATGTAAACTGTCCTTTGCGTCTCCTTTGCGTCTACACTACCATGTCAACAAAGCAGCTTGCTTTGTCGACAGAACTCAATGTAGTCTAGACGCTCTTTGTCGACAGAAGTTTTGTCGACAGTATCTGTCGACAAAACTTCTGTCGACAGAAGCCTGTAGTCTAGACGTACCCTAGATGTTTTTAGCAGGTTTTATGTCCCTCTGGGGGTCTCATATTTTAAATTTGTAAATATTGCATTTAAACCTTTTTTCTAAGCCACCTTGAATATTTTAAATAGAGGGGCAGGGTAAAAACATCTAAATAAAATATAAAAATAAAAATGTAGCAGTGGGAGGTGCTAATCAGCTAGAATCTCTCCTGAGCAGTCGCACGAGCACCCGGCTTACAGGGAACACGGGTTAACCCAGGTGTGTCTACACTGCAATATTATACCCACGGTAGTGACTCTCGGAGCCTGGATTTCCAGACTTGGGCCTGTCGCTGGTTGGGCTCAGAGACCCGCTTTCTTCCTGGAATGGAGAGCATTATATAGGACTGCAGATTTACTCTCTTCTTATCTGTGGTTTCCTCTCTCGCCTCTGCTGAGAGGTGTGACTTGTGGGTAGCAGGGTGTGTTCTGTTTTGGCAGGTTTCTGTTGTTAGCACACAACACTGCCTTGTGTACTAAATATCAGTGTTAGCTACCGGCAATATCAGGTGCAGCAGCTTTTCTTCTGCTCTATTGGACGTGTCCTCACCTTTGCCCCTGACTTGGCTCCGGTGCCCACTTACAAACTTCTAGTCTGAGTTAAACGGGGCTTTATCCGTGAGCAAGCTGCCCCGACGAGCGCTGCTGAGGCCAGCGTTAATACTAGCAGGCAGGTCTAGAGAGAGCAAGTCATAGGGTGCAAACAACGTCCCCTCTAATTTTTCCATCTGGATGCAGAATGAATTTTGTTCTGTGCACCAGAGCATGGGCAGATGTGCACCACCCGTAGAAACACGTGCTGCCAGCTGCGAGTGCTCAGCTAACCCGGTGGGCAGCCTTTGACTCTCTCCTGGGGGGCTGCCCCAGCGTGCAGTTTGCTGGAACTGCTGGGTCCAAATGCTTTGCTTTGGCTCCCGGGTTCTGCCTGTCACATACTGCGGGTTGACGGCTGTTGTGTCCCATGGTTCGTTAGGCTCAGCCGCATGTAGCACCTCGAGCGGAGGGTGGCAACACCCCTCCAGGCCTGGGTGGATGGCTGAGACATGACCAACTGGGATGCTTACGTTGTGAGTTCATTGCACGCACCAGGAGCACCTCGGATTTCCCCGTATGCCCCTCCTTGCCACCACAGACTGCCTGATGCCACCTTCCCTTCCCTAACCTGGCAGGAACTTCCCGTATGCCCCTCCCTGTCCCCACAGCCTGCCTGATGCCACCTTCCCTTCCCTAACCTGGCAGGAACTGCCTGAAACCACCCAGAAACTTCCCCCTGGCTGGGTTCCCCCTCGCCCTGGTTCCTGTAATGCAGGCAAAAAGCAGAAGGCTAGAGTCCAAGGCAGGGTGATATATATTGCGGTTACCTTGTAGAACAAGGTGCAGCTGTCACCCCACAGAACTTTTCCTGTTCCCTCTTTCTC